TATGAGCACGACCCATTGTCTATATTAGAACACTTCTATTTAGTAAAATGCTGAATATTAATACTCTAGTGTCGCGAGTTGACGTCAACTCTTAATTTTTTTATTTGGTGAGATGATTTAGTATGGGGAGTTTTCAAGGTGGCGAATTTTCTAAGGGCGAGTTTGTAGAGGCGAGTTGACTGCCAACGCACCACACAACGTAAGCATGATCGAATTCGAGTCAACTCGGCACTAAGTCAACTTGGCCACAGTTTCGTGGCCCCCTAGTATAATACATTTATAATTATTGTTTTAAAATGTAATAATTAGCACATTGACATAAATAAGTTTAACTGGGTTTGTAAATACTATAGGCCTCAAAATACTGTGCCGAGGCTTGGGCCGAGTTGACATTTATACCGCCCATGGTTATAGTAAAAACGCTGAATAGTAATACTTGAGTGTCTCGAGCTGACGTAGAAACAGTAAAAACGAGCGTTGGTACCGTGTATGCCAGTCTACAACAAGCGTTGCCTAAATGTAATAAATAGCACACTGAAATAGTCTAGTAAATAAGTTTAACTGGGTTCGTAAATAATATTGGCCTCAAAATATTGTGGCTGAGACATGGGCCGATTAAATGTAGAAATAGGAAACCTAGAAATGTAGTAAAAACGCTGAATAGTAATTGGTAATAGAGCGTCGCGACATGCGGACGTTGGTACGTGTAGGTTAGTCTACAAACGTCGCCTAAAGTAATTGATTTAACCCGGCAGAACGAAACTCCGCTTTCAGTCGTCTTAGGCCCTTGTTTTTTGACAAACAATGACCTTTCAGAGGTCAAATTGCTGTTAAGAATATGAATTGGCTGCTTCGCAGCAATAAAAGGCAAGACCTTTTTATATCTTGTTTAGCGAACCCTCCAATAACGATGATTTCGAATAAAAATAAAATGTTATTTTTGGCCAGCGCACCTGGCACCACGAGAAAATGGAAATTTCAGAAAAAAAAAGTTTTACTTTATTTTTATTATGCCTGACACGGTCTTGAAATCTGCAAAAATAATATATGTATACAGTATTTCTTCTAATTATGTAAATTTAAAGCATTTAACCATCCCATTACTACACCGTGTACATTCACCAATAAAATTTTATTTTTATTTTCTCCTCCGTCTGGATGTTTTTGGAAAAACTATTTGCTACATAATAAAATAAATTTAATTTCAATTTTTTTTTCCACCTTCGATAAGTTTGCGAAACAAGGAATAAAAAATTCTTGCCTTAGAACTAATAAACACGCACTAGCGGCAGTGACATAAAGAATGGGCCAGAGGCCTTATTGAAGCATTTTGTATTCTATTTCTTACTTATATCAATAATTAATGGCATTTTATTGAATTTTGAAGAAGGGGGAGGGGTAACATTCCTCTGAATGACAACATGATGATAATAGATATTATGAAAGATGGGTGGCACCAGGATTTGCCCGACGGGGGGCCGAGGTCCACGGGGGGGGGGGGGGGGGTGATGCCTCCGACGAGGGGTCAGCTTTCCCCCAACGAAAGCAAAGTGGGCATGGTCGAGCTCCATTAAAAGGTTTCAAAACTGGTCCAGGGGGTAAGCCCCGAAAATTTTGAAAATTTAGGGGTTATACAAAGGCTTATTTAATCGATTTTAGAGTTTACTACAGTATGTAGAAAATACATATAATTTTTTTTTCTCCCCGACGAATTGTGGCCGGCGGACCAGCACTCACCAACGGGAAGGGGGAGCCTGTCCCCATCCCCCCCAATGGCACCAGCCCTGATTAAAGACAATAGTATTGGTAATAATAATAAAATGCAGTATTACCTTAATACCATTTCCCATAAATAAAGATAAAAATATATTTTTTATATAAAAACCCCTATGAATACTTATTTCAACTAGGTCTAAGAGAATTAATATTAATATACAATATTTATACTGACTGCATCATACAAACTACAGTAGTTACTGGCCATTAAAAACCTTACTACAAAAGTATGTAAATAGAAAATACGCTTAATTTAGGTTTAGGATATATAAATAAATACATAAAAATACTCTTGTAAACACAAGTCAAACACAGCTAAAACAAATATGAACACATTAAAATACAGTATTTAGAATTTTCATTAAAATATCCCTGATAACACTTCCTAATACCAATTTCAATAGTAACTTTATTATGTGAAAAATAGGGGGGGGGGAACTATAAAGGCACATAAAATATAAACCCTAATCGTTCCTTATATTAATATAAAAGCATATAAGTATGTAGTTTTAACTTAACCCTTGGTATTATGTATTAATGAGAATGTGACATTCCTATTATAATATTTATTTTATAGATTTTTATATAATTATGAATATATATTATTTTTAGTTATTCCTTATGTTTTACAGCATATTAATCCTGAACTTCACAATCTTTATGTGGCACAAACAAGAATTCTACCTGAATTTACAGTTCCTATTACTCGAAGGGGTGGACTGGGACTTAAATATTTACTGATCCAGACCTAAGCTAGGGAAGAGCTTGCAGTGAGGCTGCACTCATTGTTAGGCACTATGGGTAAATTAGAGACAGTTCCATACCATTTTAAGCACTTCAAATGTATATTTTATACAATTTAATATTATTTTTGTTCATTCAGGTAATAATTGTCATTTTTCTCCTCTAAATAGGAGTCATACTCCAAAAGCACATCGTCAACAGTCCACAACCAATTGAAAGATACGCCAATTCACCACCACATTTTAAATAGGTAATTCCAATAAATTTGCAACTGCAACTCACAATTTTGCTAACTAAATATTGCAACTAACATTTTTAAAGCCTTATGTAGTCTAATACTTTCCACAATGAATTACATTACAGTTATCATATAAATTGAACACTATGTTTTAAAACATCAATACAGTCTGGATTTGCAACATGTCAGAACTCCAATGAAGAACCTGCAGCACGCCTTGAAAGACAATCAAATTCTAGAATTGATTTTTTTTTAAATTTCATATGTGGCAAAGACAAGCCAAACCAGTCACTCGTCGCAAAAATCGATTTTGAGCTATTAATACAGTGTTACAGAGTAAAATAATAGCTATAAAATGGTAAAAAAATCATTCAAATCGGACATTTCCTTATGAAGTTACAAGCGTTTAACCACACAGCTGTTTAAAGAACAATATATGAGAAATTAACCGACAAAGTTTATGATTTCAGGCATTTCTCATGCATAAACTATCTTTAAATCCTTAAAAAGTATTGTTTTAACATTGGAAATGGGGAAAATAACAGCATAGAATGATGTGTAGATATATAAAGGTTAGTTTAGTGCAATAAAATAGATTTTTTAAAATTTGACATTCCAGCATGTTTTGGCCATTTTCTCTGAAACACGATTTGCGACGAGTGACTGGTTTGGCTTGTCTTTGCCACATATACTAAGATATATTGCACATTACAAAATGAGAAAAAGACACCTAAACTAATTAATTACACATTAAAAATACACCTAAAACTAATTACATATTAAAAAAGACACCTAAAAAAAATTGCATCATAAAAAAAATTAAAGATGTTAAATAAAATTTAAAAATTGACCTCTATAAAGCAACGTTCTGCAAACCTTTAGTACTGGCTCCCATAAACATTTCAAGTATTTAACCACGTCCACCTACAAACTGGGGACAATTCGGATGGATATTTTCCTCCAAAAACTAAGTTGTAAAATCAAGCCATTTTTAGTATTAACTATTGAAATTCTTGAATTCTTTAATATCTCTCTTGAAAAATTGTGAACAAACACCATAATCACCTCAGTGCCCCGCCATGGTTGGGGCAGCTCCAACAACATTTTAAGGCATTTCATCTCAACAATATATGCCTGAAAATGGCACTCTCACAATTTAAAAACATACAGTATTGTAAATTTAATTCAAAGTCTAAACACAAACAATACTTTGTTTTTTTTCTTGCTTAATTAGGGTGAGATATAGTATACTGCATTATGTTCAGTACAAGATTATTGGGGCTGTTTCAAGTTTTTTTTTTCTTAACTCAATACATCTCAAGCAGCAAGATGCTATCAATGAATGAGATATAAAAGAGATGTCTTCAAAATACCATCTTTTCCATATCAATACAATTGAATTGAGAAAGCAAACAGATAATTTGCAGTCAAAATCAAACACAATTGATGTAATACATTATACTGAACATTCAGAATCATAGTTCAATAAATAAAGTAGGAATGATCTTTCTGAATTATTTTGAAACCTTGGCAAATTTTGCAATCATCTGCTGAGAGGTGTAAGAGAAAATAAAATTTAGTGTCCAATTTGTTATTATTATCTCGTTCCTAATTTGTTTGTGTAGTGGTACTTTTCGATTATTCAACTGTAAAATTTAAATAGAATTAGCCGCTCTGAAAATGTCAGCGTCACTGTGATTTTTGAGTGTCTCATTTTTGGGATTTTTACCATAGTTAGCGGAACGTGGCAATAAAGCTAATATTCCTGATCTATCTGCTTTATTCTAGCCATTAATTCCTCTTTTTCTGAATCTCTATGTTTCAACATTTCCCTCAGATCCTTCTCACCTCCTGCTTGCTTTATTCTAGCCATCAATTCCTCTTTCTCTGAATTTGTACGTTTCAACCTTTCCTTTAAATTTTTCTCATCTTCCGCCTGCTTTATGGTAGCCATTAAATCTTTTTTATCTTCGACATTTCTCCGAAGACTTTTCAACAATTCCTCCATTTCTTCTCTTCTTTCATCGGTTTTTAGCTGATCTTCATTCTCACTTTTAGCTACCCTCACAATTAACATTTTATTTTCCTCTTTAGCTTGCTTTATCAAAGAAACTAACTGATTTCTCTCTTGCTCAATTGCCTTAAGTTTCGGAATTAACTTTCTTATACCATTGTCTGTAGCAGTTGGAACTTTAACTGTTGCTTGCATCTTCTGGATTATAGACACATTCTCTTCATCCCTTTCTTTCATCTCTGCCATTATCTGCTTCATTTCATCATCCATTTGTTTCATTTCTGATATTTTGTTTTGATAACGCTTGCTCACTTCCATCATACCCTCTCTTTTCTCTTCATCTCTTTGCTGTGTATTCAACAATTTTTCTGCCGTTGCTTTCTTGAATTTGTTTATCTGATCATCTTTATCTTCGTTTCTTTGTGACATCAGGTTATTCATAAATGCTTGTTTCGTTACTTCACTTTTATTTAGTTTTGATTTAGTTTCTTCCTCCTGCTGCTTCAGTATTTCCATCATTGTCAGTTGCTCACTTTCTCTTGCCTTTAATTTTGAAGCATTTTCTTCACTTTCTTGTTTCAGTTTTAACATTAACTCCTCCCTTTTAGCTTCTCTTTCCCTAAGTTGACTCCTTTTCTCTTCGTTTAATGATTTAAGATCAAAGATCAACTCTTTCTTTCGATCTTCCCATTCTTGTATTTCAGATTTGTTCTCTTCAATTCTTTGTTGAAGCTGAAGGTCTAAAGCCTTTTTCTCCATGTCACGTTGTATTAGTTTGCTTTTCGACATTTCTTCACTCCGTTCAAACATCATTTTCAAGTTGTCTTTGTCTTCATTCATTTGATGCCGAACATTCATCAGAAACATGTCATCATCTTGTTTAGATGCCATCGTAAGTTGATCATTATTGTCAAGAACCTGCTGTCTCAGTTTCAGCATGTGTATGTTGCCCTCTTTTTCCATCTTGACCTTTACCTCCTCTTTGTCCTCATCCATCTCTACTTTCAACTTTCTTAGAAATAACTCCCGTTGTTCAGATATTTTGTCTAGTTTCAGCTTACTATTTTGAGTGTCCTGCATTATGGAAGTAACTAACTTCTGAAATTTTCCAGGTTCTTCTTCACGTGTTACCACATTTTCGTTACCATGTTGCTTAAGCTGAGTAATCAGATCATCTTTATCTTCCTTATTTTTCTTAATTTTTGACATCAAAACTTCTGCTTCATGTTTTTCTTGCTTTATTTTAGCCACCAGCTTATCTTTCTCTAATTTTCTTTTATTTAATTCAGCAATTAACAATTTTTCTTCTTCACTTTTCTCATCTTCAACCTGTCTCTCAGAATCCACCCCACTTTCACTTTTACTTTGAGACTTCTGCCGCCACAGTTTTGCTAGTTTTCTAACTAGCATTTTGTCTGACAAAAAATAAGAAAGATATTTTTTTAGAAAAAGAATTGATCACAAACAAACGGACACTATCCCACTTTCAAAATTATAGCTCTAGAAAGAGTTTATTCTGTGAGGCATAGAATTATGCACACAGGTTTTACAATTTTTTTTTTTAAATTTTTTTTTTAACCAACTAAATATTCATGCTCTTGGCCCTCACATCAGTGTTAATGGACATGTCAGGGTCATGCAGGAAGTTTAGGGAGAACCTTTGACAGTATGGATTTAAAAGGCTTATTACAGTTAAATCAATTTTTTTTTAGAGTCTAGTATTTTCTGTAAATTTTTCCAAATAAAGTTTTGTGTGTACAGCTCCATGGGGCTGTAGAAACCACATTATCTCACTTGTTAGTTGTAAGAGTAAATCCAGTTGGAAAAATAACTGGATGAGTCTACAAAATATGATCCCCATGCCTAGATACTGTAAGACCTTATGAGTTGATTTCCCGTACGATTAAAAATCGTAACGGTACTGGGTTTGGTCTACAGGAGTTTGTGCTTCGAACAGGTCATTCCAATCATAGAAGAAGCCTCTTGATGGAGAAATTGTACGTTTTTAGCAAAGGTTTGCCTAGGTCGAAACTAACTCCGGCTATATAAATTGATTAGAAGATTGAAAATGTTATTCGTGTTAATGAATAGATAAAGATTACTACTATGTCCATTCTTTTTGATTTAATCTATGTGTATTTACCTTCATAGTTTATATTTAAATATTTAAAATTGTTAATAAATTTATTTAAAATACTATATAAAAAATAAAGTAATCATTAAAGTTTATGAAAATAATTGATATTTTAATAAAGCAGAAGATAGAAACATGTTAAATTCCGACACAAAGTATACATATTCCTATTTCTAGAGTACAGTTAAAATATGTAAATCTGTATTAAAATGATATAGAATTTATAATAATATAAATAGAAATATTATGCGTAAATATCGTGAGTGGATTTCCCGTACGATAAAATTATTGTTATTTATTTGCTAACATCATTATATTTACATTTAAATTTAATGTATTGTTTAAGTATGAATTACTGTCCATGTAACATTAATCTTTTCTATTAAAATTGTATATTTTAAATAATATAGTATATAGGCATAGCCTAGCCAAGGTCTATTACAGGCAGGCAGTAGTACTAGTACTACTCAGGACTGGCATATTGTTTTAGTTACCATATGAGAGCTTCCTGTGTTAAAAACATGATTTACTATACTATACTTCTTTATAATACATAACTTTATAATAAGAGAAATCTGTATATTATCGGTACCTGGAATATAGTAACAACACGACAGCTACTACACTGCATAGGCCTATTTTAATACACTACTTAGGTAGGCTTTTCTTTTTCCATCTTAATTTCAGAGGATAAAAGCATTTTTCAATTTTTTTTTCAATCATACAGTGGTGTAGACTAGTCTTTTAAGAACATTTTGCTGGAAACCTTTTTTGGATACGACGCCCTGTTATGGAGTTATGGTTTTTTAAATAACATGATGTCAGAAAATCAGCCCAAAAGCTTATGTTATTTCTGTTGGTTACGCACCGCTAATTCGCAATGTTTGTCATCACTTTAAGATGTCTACCGATTCGACAAAACACTTTGTAGTTACTGCCGAAGATAATGATTATCATATGACACAACAAATATTATTACGTACTGGCATTAGGATGATTGTACCATACCAAATCAGCCTATTTTATCACAAGCCTGTTTCCTAGACCAGGGAGTTACTATAACAACTCCTAGACCAAACACAACAACCACAACACAAACACAGCACCGGCGGGATTCATGGCCTAGGCCAACTACGACTACGTGAATCCGTCCCTTTTAAAATAGTATCACTTATGACTTACCAAATTATTCTTTTAATATAGGCCTAGAAAGCAATAGACCAAATATAAGAGGAATGAGTCACGAATAAAGTCTAACCTATATTCTAGGCTAAGAACAGAACAGTACAAAAACTGTTCTTCGTGCATCATCTCCATTCTCCAATATCCATTCTCATATTTCTTTTCAGAAATTCAGACGTGCAGATTTGGGTATGGCGAGCACTAAGAGCAATAAAAGTGTTACATATTCTTAGAATTCATTGAGCGTATCCCAAGACCTGCAACCCAGACTTTTCCAGACTAAATAATCAGGGGTGGCTCCAGAATGGTAATTGCAGTAGCCGATCATTTCGGTCGCGCTTCGTTTCGGTCGCACCTCACACTTCGGTCGCTGGCGGTTTACTAGTATTTCGAACAAATATATGGAGCGCCGAAGGAGTTGCGAAAACGCAACATTTAATATGCCAGGCCCTATATAATTAGTTCGTCAATCGGTTTATCATAGGCCTAAGTATTTCTTTTAATTTCAGTTTTGCTATCTTTCTACTGGCAACATTTTATCTTTCTGCTAACATATTCTCTTTCTTCCATTTACGGTGATATAGGACTATTCATGATTGAAACATGATCTTATGACAATGGAATTTAGTATGTGCTTCATGCTATTCTTTTCGTTGCGGGGAGGGCTGGTCGAGCGTCGTTTAAAATGTTCATTCATTCATTCATTCATTTCTATGTACTTTTATTTACCTTTTCTTTTATACGGTACATTTGATAATCACGTTAAAAAGATGAAGGGCAAGATCCCGAAAAGCAAAGGCGTGAGGTGGGCTGCCCTCATATACAGGAAACTATAAACGATACAAGACAGGACTGGCGAAGAAAAAAGAAGAAAGAAAAAGAAAAAAAAAAACAGGACAATACAAAAACGACAAGAAACAATGCTCAAACAAAAAACTCATCAAACCATAAATAGCTTAAATCTAAATTATAGAAAGAAAACAAAATTAGACATATTTAGAAAGTATTTTTTTTTTTTTTGTTTTTGTTTTTTTTTTACCTGGTGGTAAAATTTATTTTTGAATTAGAATTTGAAATAGTAAAAGGAAGATTATTCCAGGACTTCGGACCTGAGAATTGGATATTATGTTGGAAGGAGGTTGTTCTGTGGGGCGGATGTGCATTGATTAAAAGATCTGGTATTATGGTTATGATAGTTATGAATAAATTGGAATAGTGTTTGAAATTGAGGAGGAAGGAGAGAATTTACCCTGGAGAAAATAAAAACACATTGTTGAAAATAATTAATTAATGTCTTGGAGTTTTAATTATTTGAGGGAAGAAAACAGGGGATCGAAGTAGGCTCGTGGAGGGGAATTCGTTATGATCCTAATGACCTTTTCTTGGAGAACAAAACGCTTAGTTAGATTTTAAGGGTAAGTGTTGCACCAAACAATATCATACAATAATTAAAATAAGGAAGAATCAAGGAGCTAAATTATAGGGGGAAGGTTTTTGAGGAATTAAGGAAGATAATCTACTGTATATATAATACCGATACTTTTAGAAATTTTGTTCTCAATTTTACAAATGTGCTTCTTCCAATTAGGTGACTATCGATATGAACGCCCAAAAAATTCATGTCATTAACAAGGGGGATGGTTCGATTATTTATTTTTAGTTGGTCTGTATAGTTATCAAGTTATCTAGTGGAATTATGAAAGACAATACAACTACACTTCTTCAAATTAACAGGAAGTTTGTTGGCAGAAAAAATATTCAAGAATGGTGGTCAGGTCCACGGGGCGAAGCCCCCGGAAATTTAGACAATTGGAGGGTTTCAAAGGCTTATTTAATCGATTGTAGAGTCTAATAATTTGCAAAATACATATAATTGTTGTTGTCCCCGACAAATTGCGATATTTCTCCTCGACGGGGAGGGGGCGCATCCCCTGCTACATGTGTCGAAAGCATTTTGCCCGTCCATTATTGTTTGGCATCTCTGATTGCCTGGAATAGATGCTGACAACCTATTGAGCCGCTTATCGGTCAATGGGTTACAAGATTTAAAGTCGGCGTGGAGATAGAGTCTGCCGAGCATAATGATCATCATATGGGACTCCTCAGGAAACAACCCTTTGGGTTTAGAAGGTCATTCTTTGCTCTCCTTCCCCTTTGCTTTTCCTTTCTTCTTGGTTTCCTTTTGATGTTTGATGTTCTGTCCTCTGGTCCTTGTTAACTTCGTTCTTGTCTCTTTTTTTTTGTCTGTTTTCTCTTTTTGGTTTTTCGTTACTTCTGTATGTTATGTGTTGCCTGCTTGTCCCTGTAATCGTCTTCTGTTTCTGATTCTATGAAAAGTTTTGGTGATTTTTTTTTCCTTTCCCGCCTTGCCTTTTTGCTTTCGATGTAGATTATGATGTATTATGTAATGGGGATGTTACATTTTCTTTGTTTCTGGTTGGTTATTTGATGTTTCTACGGAAAAAGCAATAAATAAAAAAACAAATTGTGCCCACCTCAGCCAGACCATGGCTGGGGCTGGCTGAGGTGATCAACATTAGTAAATATGGCACCTCTAAATGCCCAGAAATAGCAGCTGGCAAAACTGTGATCCTTACCATTCCCATCCTATACATTGGCAGACAAAGTTTTAAAGTTAGTGGCGACTATAGTTCATACCAACATAGTTGGGGCTGATGTGAGCGAATTTTGAAAATATGGCACCTTTCTAGACTGTCGGGTAATAGTCTTCCAGGGACCCTGGTTCGAGAATACTGTGGGGCCCGTGCATAAATTGGCCGAGGCAGGTCAGGCTAACAAAGCTTATAAGTACAGTTAACAAAATTATTCATTAAATGAAATAATCAAAACCATCTCCCCGCAAAACACCATCTCTTTATTTCTGAGTCTAGAATTCGGGGACAGAAAAATGTTATTTATGAAAGCGAATTAATTACAACTCTTCAGATCAGAAAATTCGGATTCGGTGTGATTGCAGCTTTATAATTCTAAAACATACGGATGACTACCAGTATACTACTATAGATTGTCAGTTTAGTTTTAGTTTTCTAAGGTAGAAAATAACTCATCGACATAGAAAATAACCCATCGACTATAGATTGTCAACTTTTACTTTTTAGTTTTCTAAGGTAGAAAATAACTCATCGACATAGAAAATAACTCATCGACTATAGATTGTCAACTTTTACTCTTTAGTTTTCTAAGGTAGAAAATAACTCATCGACATAGAGTGGGCCACCAGCCTAGGAAATGTGTAAATCCGCATCTGCCATAACTCGGATTCGTGGAGCTATGTGACCGTCTGAAAACAGGTTCGAAAAGTACAGTAGTAGATATCACTTCATAATGTCGTTTGGGATAGGAAACACAACACAGATTTTAGTCTATTAGAAAAAGTCAAAAAGTCGTAGAGATGAGTTTCTCTTTTTATTTTGCTCAATGTATTACAAGCTACGTTTATATGGTATATCAAAATGCTTTATAATGTTCAATGTGCTGTGATATTAAGGGTTAATACTTTTGGCACACTATTTGCAAATAAATGTGAAACTAACAGTGCTGCCTGCTTTTCTTATACAGTGCCATACATGGACTAAATTGATTATAACGAGCAGATAAATACCTCAAAATTAACAATTGCATACGCTGAGTTTATTAATAATATTAATAACAAGAAAATATAATTTAATAACGTCATTTACCAAAACGCACCATACTTTGGTTCGAAATCCCAAGATTGATTTAGTCCGAATACTGTAGACATTTTGGTTAATGACGTGTTAACTAGGAACTACACTTTTGTTTATAAGAATCAGTAAAAAATTTGCCCAGGCTTAGTGTTCTTATGTTCTTGCCGATTTCAGGCTTAATGTTCTAATTTTGTTCTTACTTTTACACATTTTTCAAACATAGAAAATTATTATTGTACAGCAGTGTATTACTGTGCTATATTATAGAATGCATTACATAGTCACACCTTCTACAAATAAGGTACAGATGAGATTTGATGGTTTTTCTATTCTTTAAAAATAAAAATCTCATTTGACATCTTACCTAAGCCTCAATTTGTTCTTATTTTGGTCTTATTTTATAAGCAATTTCAGACTCAGTGTTCTTATAAAATGTGTTCTTATTAAAAGCTTATGCTAAGCTGAAATTTTCCCACTTTTGTGCAAACAATAAGGTATACGGTACATTATCAGTGGCGTAGAAACGTTTTTTTCATTGGGAGGGGGGATGATTGGCGTGTTAGCCAGTGTCGTAACAGGCGCGGG